CCCCCGGACACCATGGCTGGAGCCGGCCTTTTGTTGAACGGGCAGATTATCCTGGTGTTAGGGCGGCTTTAGAGATCATCTGGGCGGCGCAGGGCTTGGTACACCCACGGCACTGCCCTGAGCCGAGCAGGGGCCCTCGAGGCACAGGTGAGGGAGCTCTGTAGCAGGCTGGCTAGAGAGGGGGCTCAGAGGGACTGATGCCCCAGGGCAAGGCCGGCATTAGCACCCGCTGCGGGGCATGGCGCTCGGACACAGCAGGGCAAGGCCAGCCCCCTGCCAATGCAACCTACCACGTGCTCTTCTCCAGGTGGATATTCTGGAAGCCCAGGACATCCAGGACTTTCTTCTTGGTGGCGTCCGTGAATCCACCTGGGTGGGGAGGGAAGGAGAGGAAGGGGTCAGTGGAGGGGAGGATAGTGCAGGCAGAGAGGCAATACCCAGGGGCAACTGTGGGTAGATGGGGGCAGCATCTGCATAGTGACGGCTTGGGGATGTGCTGCTGTTTGACCCGGTGAGCTGGCTCCCAGCACAGCCCCAGGGCCCGGTCCCCTGCAGACCAGCTCCCTCCAGGCCAGGGGGGTGGGAGAAGACGCGCATGTGGAGCCATGCTCCAATGAGTGGAAAAACACTGTGTCCCCAGAAAGGCAGTGAAAACACAGGCACAACTGGTAACGCAGACGTGGCTGCTGCCTAACAGTGCCTGGTGGGGTGGGGGGAAAAGGGGGCACATGCTTCCTAAAACAGTGGAAGTGGAGCCGTGTGTGGGCAAGGCCTCCCGGCCATGCCGAGGGTAAGGACTATGCATGGGGTCAGTAGTGGAGCCAGGCACAGAGCCCAAGAGCCTCGTTGAGCTGGGGATAGAGCCTGTAGCCCCCCTGAGTCCCTCCCCCAGGCTTTGCCCAGGGGTAGCTGAGCCTGCCCAGCCCCTTACCCACCGTTCACCAGGGTCTGCAGGCACACGGCCAGGGAGGGGATGCCCACGGGCAGCAGCTCGCACAGCACAGAGTAGTGGTCATACCTGCAGAGAGCGGCACATGTCATCGCAGAGCCCATGGCTGCAGTGAAGTGCTGCCTCCAGCTTCCCTGGGGTGCAGCACAGACCCCTGGCATGGGGTTGGGAGGCAGAGCCCAGTCACCGCAGCAATTCAAGGTGGACGCACTAGGGCCCAGCTGTGTTGTGAAAGGCTCTGGCAGGGCCCCTGCTCTGGAGCCAGCGCTACTGAACAAGCCACGCTAGGATGGAGGGAGCCTTCTGCCAGCAGAGCTCAGGGCAGGATGCCCTGTCCCAACACCACGGGCCTCTGCCAGGGCTGCTGGTGCTGCAGGTCACCCCCACCCGTCTGCTCGCCTCGGCAGCCTCCTGCTCATAGCACATCTGCAGGTTGGCAAGGGGGCACCCAGGGGCTCTACGTGGGGGCAACGGAGCTGCCTGTTCCATGGCTCAGCACCCTGTGGGGTGTAACAGGGGGCTGGGCCACAAAGCAGAGGGAAGGGAAGTCCCTGCCCCTGGGCAGCAGCCTGGGTTCTGCACCTGGAGCCTGAGCTGGAAATAGCAGCCCTGCCCTGCTGGGTGCCTGGCAGCTCCCTCCTTGTGCTGTGCCCAGCCCCAGAGAGCATCTCTCCCAGGCAACCACCCCCCAGCCCTGCTGGCTGTACCCCGCTGCCCCCCACGCCTGCTCTCTGCTCCTTCTTGTCATCATCTCCAGGCAGCTGCAGGTCGTACCCTCCTGCGTGTGCAGACCCACGCACCGTGCTCCGGGCGGACTGTGCCAGAGTCCAGAGTAAAGCCAGCTGCCCCCTGCCGCCTGTGCCCCATGAACCCAGCTGATAGCTCATACTGGACAGCGCCGGCACCCCAGCCCCAGCGTGCAGCCTCACCTCTGCCACCCCGTGAGGGCGATGCCCTGGAACTTGATGGCCGGGAATTTGGGCATGGCTTGGATCACCTTGAGCCAGCTCAGGTGGTTGTTCAGGTGGTAGCTCAGAGGTGTCCACTGCTGGGCTGGTCCCGTGGTGCCCTTGAAGGCGCTGGCGAACCACACGGTCTGGAAGCCGCTGTCCGCGTACTTAGAGATGAAGTTTCCTGGGAGAGTTGGAGATGAGGATGGAGAGGACAGCCAGTCCTCACCACGCCAGGGCATGCACGAGTTGGAGCACTACACCCCTGCCCAGACCACCTTCTCCATCCTCAGACAGCCAGGCCGAGTGGCACTGGGGCCCACCAGCCCTGAACCCACAGCGCAGCTGCCCCCTTACCAATCTGCTCCGCTTCAAAGTCGGGCGCGTAGTACCACACCATGGGTGCCGCATGCTTCACAATGCCCGATTCTGCGGGAGACCAAAGCCAGAGGAGAGAGACCGTGAGACCGTGACACCTCCATGCACCCTCTCCAGATAGCTCCGGTAATCTGCATGAACCCCGACAAGCCTGGGAGCTTGCAACCTGCTCTAGGCAGGACAGGGCTCTTGTCTCCTTCCCCAGCCCAGCTCCCTTGGGGCACCGGGATGTTCCAGTGACCCGGGCCGCTGCGGCACTGTGGACTCGAGCCACTGCTCCTGGGATGCACCCGGCTCCTCCCGGGGAGCCCCACCGTGACGCCTGCAGAGCCCTGACCTCGGAGGGTGGCCACGTTGATCTTCCGCAGCATGTCATCCCACAGCAGGACCCGGAGCCCCCAGTACTGGCTCACGAGGAAGCTCACAATCTCCTTGATGTGGTTGAGGTACATCCTCCCCACGTCGCCCTGGTTGCGTCAGCCAGTGCTTGGAGTCCGTGCCCTCGCCCAGGTGGAAGACCTGGGGTGATGGGGAGCGGAGCACACGTCAGGTCGGCAAGGCAGCCCTGGAGCCCACCTCGCCGCTCCCAACCCCACCACCCCCCTGGCATCGCCCCCTCGCTCCAGTCCTGCTCCACGCCCACAGCAAGCTGCTAGGGCGATGGGGGCCTTCCTTTTTGGCAGGTGCCACGAATTAGCCCTGCACCCTCCCCGAGTGCCACAATCCCCATTCCCCGCCTGATCGGCTGCTCTGCCTTCTGCTGCCTGCCCAATCTGATTCTCTGCTTTCTGCTCCCCACCAGATCTGCTGCTCTGCTTCCTGCCCCAATGCACCGCTCAGCCCATCCTTCACCACCCCGTGCCAGGCTACAGCTGCCATGGGGGCCGCATGCTGGGCTGAGACCAGCTTGGGGACAAGCAGCCAGCTGCAGCCGAGCCTGGATGCAAGGGAGGTGCGGCTGGCAGGCAGGGGGAGCCCGCAGCTCGGGCAGCCCCACGGCGGCCAGGTCCACCCAACAGCCATGAGGGCTGCAAGGGGCCCTGGCGCTGGGAGGAGGCTCCCGTGCTCACCTCGTCGGCGCCGATGTGGATCCAGCTGGCGCGGCGGTGCTTGTCCATCACCTGGGCCAGGATGCTCTTGAGCAGAACCAGCGTGTCTGGGACGTGGGGGTTGAAGCTGTTGGGGAAGCGCTCCACCTCCCGCAGGTGCCGGTACTGGTCGTGCTTCAGGATGAACTGGTGAGGAAGCACAGGGGCCGCGTCAGCCGGCCGCCACGGCCGCCTCCAGCCCCTCGGCCTCAAGGTCTGAACAGGGGATGGGGCGGCATAGGACAAGGCTGGGATTAGCCAGGCCCAGATACCCCAATGAAGGCAGAGAGCGAGCCCAGGGCCAGACCTACCTCCACGTGCCCGAAGGTCTGCACCAAGGGAACCACCTCCAGCTGATTGAGCTGTGCCAGCTGCTGGATCCGCTCTAGGTCGTCCTCGCTGGGGGAGCAGAGGAAGGGCATGTCAGAGGGCTCCGGCTGCCCTGCATCGCGGGGCTCATGCCACCCCTCCCACCGGCCTCACCTGTAGGAGTAGGGAGCCCGCAGCACCCCGAGCTCGCCCTTGAAGGGGAACATGTCCTCGTACTCGATCAGGACCCCATTGGCACCCAGCCTGGACAGCAGCGGGAACAACTGTGGGGACAGCCATGGCCAGAGCTGCAGCGGATGGATGAAGCGGGGTGCCCGAGGGTGCCCTCCACCTAGCAGCTCAGGACCAAAGCCCGCCTGGCACTTCCCAAGACCGCCTCGGCTCCATGCAGTTCAGAGCCCGCTCACCTGCTCCAGGTAGGACACCTTGGGGGCAGCGCCCTTCAGGTCCAGGTGCACCAGCCTCATCTCGGTGGCGCTGAAGTCCTTGGAGAGCTGCTTCCTGGCATCTTGCTTGGGCCCCGCGATCTGGTCAGCCTCCGGGTCCAGGGGCTGGCTGCGGGGGTCGGGCTCCGGGAGGACATCCCCGCCCTTGCCCCAGAAGTCGCTGTCCTTGCTGACATGCTTGTGCAGCTCCAGGGTGAAACTGTGCACGCACAAGAGACGCCCACGCCCGTCAGGGCCTGCTCTCGGGGGCACCGGCCCCGTTACAAGCCCCATGCCAGCCTCCCTCGTGCCCCCCACGTGGGCTCTCCCAGGCCAGACGAGAGGGGCTAATGAGGGAAATCCACCTGGGTCGGCTCTGGGACAGACGGGACCGTAGGCTCAACCATGTTCCTAGCTCCTGCAGTCACTGACACCCATGAAACCGGGGACCCTCTCCCCCGAAACGGCTGCTGCTGCTTCTGGCTAGTCCAGAGCAAGGCAGGGGCCCGTCTCCGTGTAGCTGGCCCGGGAAACCATGTGCTCAAGCGGAAACCAGGGGGGCAGGAGACTACCTCCAGCTCAGAGCCCTCAGCTGGAGGTAAAGTCCACCTTGCTGCTCCCTCCTCGTCGGGGCAGTGCACCCTGCTCCCACCCCTGGCAGTAGCTGAGGCTCCAGGGGTGGGCACTGCTGGAGATGGGGGCGGGGGCAGCTTCCACCTGCAGATCAGAAGCTGCCTGGGACCCCGGGCCGAGCAGCCGCACCACGCCAGCCCCACCTCACCTGTCTCGGAAGAGGAACTTGATGCCGGCCAGGACCACCACGAGCAGCACGGCGAGGCGCAGCAGGTGCAGCTTCTGGCTGCGCTTGAAGGACATGGCTGCGGGCGAGCGGGCAGGGAAGGGTTGAGCTGGGGGCACGGCTAGGCCAGGGGGTGGCTTCTCCCACCCCAGGGGAGCAGGGCAGCACCCCTGCAAGCCCCCAGCCCCCACTTCCGCGCAGCAGACCCAGGCTCGGACCCTTCCCCTCCAGGCACCTGGGCCAGTGCCTCCCCTCTCCCCCTGCATCCGTGGGAGGATGTCTGACCTGGGTCCCCCCCCAGTCTGGGCAGTGCAGGGACTTGCCCTCCACCCCACAACTGGGCTGCGTGCTAATGCACTGCCCCAGCCTCACCTGGGCAGCTCCTACCTGGTCTGGCGCTGGCAATGTCAGGGCAGGTTTAGAGAGCAGATGCCTGGCACGGAGACCTTTGGACCAGCGCTCCCCATGGAGGGAACAGCTGAGCTGGCATGGGAGGGAGCCCCTGGAAGACAGGAAGGGGGACAGTGAGAGGGCTCGGCCGTGTTGCACCCGCTCTGGCTGCGGGGCCGGACCGAGGACAACGGACACCGCCGGGTGCTGGGGGCCGCGGCTCTGGACCTGCCCCCACGTCTGCTCCTTCCCTACCCCGCAGGAGTGGCTTCCAGAGCAGGATGCCCTCAAGCCGTCTGGCTCTGTGTGCCATGGGATCGGGTCGGGCCTCCAGACCGTGCACCAGATCCCCGGAGCGTGCGTGTGCAAAAGCAGACCCCCTCCCCCCCTCCCCCAAGGCTCCCCTCTTTGCCGCTTCTCCTGAGCCCTCGGCCTTCATGAAATGCCCCCGATTTGCAGAGCCCGAGCACCCACCTGGGGCCCACGAAGCACCTGGGCAGCAAGAGCCGTGCGGGGCTGTCAGCCGGCCTCCCACCACCAACCCCCGTGGCAGCAACAGCCTTTGCAGCCAGGGATCCAGCAACTGCCTTATCACCGACCAAGCACCTGAGCTGTGCGACTTCCTGCCCACCCCGGGTCAGGCGCGCCCTGGAGATACCCACGGGGCTGACTGGAGAGGGAGCGGGGAGAATGGGCGCAGCTCAGGTATTTGTACAATGCTGCCTTGTTCACACAGCAAGGGCGTGCAGTACCCCGGGAGGGGCGGCTGCAGCATGGGTGGGACACTCTTGAAGTTGTGCCCAGAGCCCCCAGCTGAAATCAGGGCTGTGTGCATGCATGCACGCACACACGCGTGTACCACCATGCATGCACGCATGCGTCTGTGCAAGCATGCACGCCTCTGTGCATGCATGCATGCATGCACCCATACATGTGCACGCACCTCTGTGCATGCACGCACATGCATGCCTCTGTACATGTGCACCTCTGTGCATGCATGCACACACACAAGCCTCTGTGCATGCACGCACACGCACGCACACACATAATCAGGCCTCGCTCCAAGTCATGAGGACAGGGGCAGAGGCAGGAATAAGGACCCAGGTGTCCGAGTCCCCGTGGGCCGCGCTGGAAGAATCCCCGGCCCCCGTTCACCCTGGAGGCATCAGCACAGCTCGCCCTGGTAGCACCTGGCAAAGCTGTCTGCCCGGTTCTTTCTTCCTGCAACCTTGCGGGCCCGCTGCCTCCTTGGCTGCATTTACAACAAGACAAACAACGCCAAGGGGGCCAAGGTAGATAAAACTTCCTGCAGGCCAGGAGCACGACTATGCCCCACAGCGCTGAAGCGTTGCAGCATTAATTGACAATTTGGGTGTGAGCGTGTGCACCCAGCAAGGCCGCACCCTTGGCAACTGGCTCTAGCAGAGAGGGCCAGCTGGGAGGAGGGAGGAGAGGCTCAGCCCAAATCTGTGGCAGAGGGAATTGAACCCTCCCCAGCTCCGGAGGTCTCAGACCCGCTCTGCGGGCAGTCCCGGCAGGATCCGGCCCTGCAGAAGGTGCCTCTGGGGACACGGCAAGCCTCGCCGAGTCACAGCGCTTGGTCATGGCAGGGCTACAGTGGTTGCTGCAGAAATCCTGTCTCCACTAGGTCCAGCGCCCAGGGTCAACCCAACCCCCTTGCCCCCGGGGACAGAAACACCCCCGGCACTCACTGTGTCGCCGCATCCAGGGGATCACGACATGCACCAGATGGTTGCCCGGGCCAGCGGGCAAGCAAACCCACTCGGCTTGCGCCTGCTGCCCGCAGAGCGAGCCACCGGCCCGGCCGCACCTGACCAGCGGTGCTCGCTCTCTTAAATGGATCGAAGCGACTTCAGCAGGGGAGGAAGGGAGAAAGCGCTTACACTCGTGCACGCACTACACTGCACACACACACGTGCACAAGCACAGCTCCCCGTCCCTGTCATCAGGCCAGCTCTGCGGCATGCCTGGGAGGGACGGGGCCCTCATCAGCATGTAGGCAACCTCGAAACCGAAAGCAAGAAAGCAGCCGGAAACCTGCTGCGCGCACAGAGAGGCGGGGAAGAGCCTGAGCTGTGCCGCACGCAGCCGTGCATCCTCCAGAGGATGCTGAAGCAGAAGAGCCCTTTGTTCTTGGCTTCGGGAAGCCGCGGACACAGCCCTGCAGGGAAGTCCCGTCAGGGCACAGCAGCATTCGCAGGCTGCCCATCAGGGCAACGTCCGCACAACAGCCTCCGAGCTGGGGCAGAACGGCGGTGGCACGACCTAGAAGCATCCTGGATTTGTGCCAGACCCAAAGCAGGAGCTTGCAGGAAAACCCACCGTCCTTTGGCCCTGCACCCCCCAGGGCCCCCGCACAGCTACACACCCAGGAGGAAGTCAGGGGCCCTGGGTGCACGTGGCCGTCATCGAGGCTCCTCCTTTGCACAAGTCCTCGTCGTGCAGCGAGGGTGGATTTACCCCGGGAGCTGCCGTCAGGGCGCTCCTTGGAGCCGGGCCACCCCGGAGCGCCAAGCCGGATGCAGCCACCTGCACAACCCCGGACTCCTGCGTGTCGCGAGAAGCCGGGGGAAGCTGCCAGGTTCTGGGATGCCAATACCAGACGTTCGCTCCGCGCCCGTTCACAGGCCTCTCTCCGTGTTTCGCCGTCGCCAAGCGTCGTCGTCAAGAGGGATGTCCTCCAGGCAGCTTTAATTAAGCCTAGTGGCCTTGACACCACTGCTGGCACACGGATCCGCTGCGCCCATTAACCAGGTGTCGCATGGTAGCACCGAGGGCTGCCAGCTGAGCCTGGGGCCCCGTGACGCTTGGTATTGGGCACGTACACACCTCCCCCCGGCTCCCTTCTCCACAAGCTGCAGGACAGACAAGACCAAGGGCGAGCAGGGCACAGCGCCCAGCGCCTTCCAACTAACCATCCAGGGAAGGATGGCGAGAGACAGGGCAAGGAGCGTCGCGGGGGCAGACGGAGCCAGACGAACCCGATACGTCCCCCGAGAGCCGGCGCTCTGGGCAGAGGAAAGGTGATCTCGTTTATCCGGGCTTGGGCAAAGCACGTGATGGGGCGCCACTGGGGAAATGATTAATCAAGAGCTGGGAGGGCAAGCAGGGCACCAAAAGGGAAGCCAAGAGCAGGGGAGTTCCCCCCAGCTCCGTCTGATTCAATGTTTGCATTCAGGACCTGGGCACGAAGCGCTGCCGAAATCTGTGACCCCACGTGGCGGGACAGCAGCCCAGACCTGGGCGACCTTGAGAGCCGCGGCCGCAGAAACAGGAGCAACCCAGCAGCAATAAGTGCAACGGGCTGGGAGCTCGCCGGCTGGAAACCACCGAGGAGGAGGAGGGTCTGGGTGCGCCAGGGTGGGAGAGCCACGCTGCGCATCTCCTTTACAGCCAGGGCAGCGGCGGTGCCATCGCACGAGGCCCTGGCGAGACCCTGCCTGGACGCTGCGGACGATTCACTCCAGCCGTGCCCAGGAAAGGCGCGTTCAGCTCAAGGAAAAGGGGATGGTGGAGGGCAGAGAGGAGGTGAGGAGCCACACACGGGAAGAGCTGGGGCAGCCCAGGGATGCTGCTGGCACCAGGACACGTGGGGCTCTGGCCGTGAACAGGCTCCAGCTAGAAAGCAGGACAAGGGGTCTCCCTTCGGGGCAGGAGGGAAGCAAAGCTCAGCCACATTTAAAAACAAGCCTTGAGCAGGTCAGCAGCAGCCCTCCCGCCCGAGCTCGGCCTGGGGAACATGCTCACCGATGGAGACGCCGGGGGTATTAGGGGTGACACGCGAGGCCAGACCTCGCCGACGCCCTTGCTGGACGGGAGCGTGCGGAGGACGGGGGTCTTTATGAACTGGGCAGGCCCTGCGGCCAGGATGCTCAGGAGCAAGGAAGGCCGGGCTCAGAGCCTCCTTGCCGTGGCTCAGGCTGCACCCGAGCTGCCCATCCTTGCGCGCCAGAGCTGGATCTGGATCAGCAGCCAGAGGACACAGCATTGCTCCCAGCTCCTCCCTTCGCAGGCAGCCCTGCGCTCTCCGGACACGGACAGCCTGCCGCAGACAGCAGCCCCGGGCGCAGCCACTTCCCCCCGGCCAGGACAGCGGTAGGCTGGACTTCTCCCAGGGCTGCCCAGAGAGCGGCTCACGCTGCCGGGGCGCTCGGGGGCTGATGCTCACACAGGTGCGGGGCTTTGCCAGGGAGCTTGGGCATTGGTGCTCATGCAGATCCACGGCTTTGCCATGCATCCCCCTCCCCAAGAGAAGTGCAGCCTCGGGTACGAAGCACTGGCACAGGGGCTCTAGCCCGCAACCTTGCTCCAAGGCAAGGGGAGGCACGTGCGCCCCTGGAAGGGCTGAGGACGCACCGGACACTGTCCGCCAGCGCGGGCAAGGGCGTGGGGACCCGCGCGGATGGAGAGAGCAGCAAGGGAAGGGCTCCCTGGCGCAAGGGGCAGCTCAGCCCAGCTGCCTCCTTGTCCGTGTCGCTGCCTCCCACTGCTCTGGGGGGAGACCTTCCTCCCCTCCCTCTTCCTCCTCCTCCTCCTCCTCCTCAGACCCTGCACCCCCAGAGCCTCCTGCAGCGCCGGGCAGCCTGGCCCCAGCCCCGTGGCAGGGCTGGCACCAGGACCAGCTGGGGCAGCAGCGCCCCCGGCCCCGGGGGGCTCC